TTTAAACTTTACTTTGGGTATTATCAACCTCTCCCTCAACTTCTAATCACTGTAAATTAAAAGACAAAATCACGAATCACGGACTTTCAGTTCCCGCTCTTTAACAGAGATCGATAAATTGCGCTCCCGACGGATTTAGCGGTGAAATACAGTAACAAGAACAGTTCACGAGTCAGCGCATTTCGTAAGACCGGATGTTGCAATGATGCAATTTTTTCACGAAATCAAGGCAAATTTTGTTCAAACAAGAAGACGCCCGAAGGCGTTTACGCTGGATGTGTTGGTGTAAGAAAGAATTACCGTTATGCTGAATAGCAATGGGAAGTTGAGTAGTGTATGCAACAAATGTGTGCAGGAGAGACGGAGATGTTCTGTTAAGGACTAATGCGACCCTAATACACTACAGAAGATGAGTTACACACAAGGGTTCCTTTGCTACGAAAAACAAAACTTACATCAATATTACCACCATATATGTTAAGAGTATGGGGTAGTTCACTTAAATTTACATTCCCTTTACTAATTTCCTCAAAAAATGCACTTCCACATTCAACAATAGCATGTAATGTATCATACTTCCAATAACTAAAGGGCTGCTAGGCTGCGCTCTGGGGCAAATTTCAAGGAGCTCTTTGGGTTCCCAAGCAATTTAACCTAAAGATCTAGATGGCCGCCCAGATAAAATTTTCAGGGAGCCCTTCGGTCTCCCAAACATTTTAACTGGGCTGCCCGTGCCTCCAAGTTGTTAGCCCAAATTAATAACTCAATGAGCTGTTAGTTAATTATTAAAAATTAAACAAATTATTTTCTAAACAAGTCAAGTAGAATTTTGTGAATATTTTTTCATGAAAAATCACATCTTTTGACCTCCTGAGCGTCCGAAAAAAAAAAACTCGGATGTTGTCAAATGAAAGTAAGTTTTCGCGCCATATGAGAGACATGGGCGACGTCGCCGAATATTTCATGTTTTTTTAAATGGAAACGTAAGATTCTGGTCTGTTTATGTATTTTTTTACACAAATTTTTGGGTAAAAAATAAGGGAACTATTCTTTTTACTCATCATTTTTATTTATGTTGAAAAGAAAATTCGCTCAAGATTGACTGAGATCCCGTGGAGCTTTCCGGGAAAACCGGCTATGATTTCAACGAAACCGCGGCCGCCCCAAAACTATTATCTCTTTTGAATAGATCATCATCTTGTTGGAAAGTCGTCATTTAAGCACAGAATAGAAGTATTTTCTTTTTATGTTATCGGTGAAATGTTCAGGACAAATAAGCTTTTTGTGGATTCGGTAACCAACTAGCTCTACTGTGACCGCTAAATTTAGCTTTTGCGTATTTATTTTTAGTACGAGATACGTATTTTTAATACGTATCGCTTAAAAATGACTTGTCACGACACGAAAGACAACGCGGGACTTCATAGATTTATACCCGATTCTAAAACAATCACAATAATAGTCATCTCTTTTCTTTTTTTACATCGTATTTTACTGGAATAACAATTTTAAGTTAAGTTTGGGCCTCGCAGTCACAGCAATAAAAAACAGGTAAAAATATTTAATTGACATAAAAGAGCGACTTCCGTGTTTATTTACCCTGGGTGCCAGAGACTTTACTAGCGCGGTTTTGTCGGCCTTCGGCCAACACCGAAAATCCCAGGGTAGTGTTTATTCAGCGATTTTTTAAAATACAGAACTATTGTTTTGCGTCGCCGACCGTACTTTACGCCTACCTGTCAGAGCAAAAGTAACAATTTCTTTTGAAAAACTAACTTATGAACACGTAATGAACCATTCTAATTTGAAGAAAAAAGTTTCAATGTTATTTTGAAAAGCTATTAAAATCGAAAGCTGTGCAGCCTGTCACGTTAATAGTCAAGGATTGTCAGGATTATGTTACATGTGAATTCACGTGAAACGACCTTTCAACATCAACGCGTGTCCTCTGCCGGGTGTTATGAAAACTAAGACCCTCGAAAACTAAGACCTGAGACCTAAGGCCCGTCTTAGTTTTCGAGATTACGAAAACTAAAACCCCCTAAAATCAAGTCCGTCGAAATATGAAGTCAAATTGTAATCGAAATAGGCCTAAGCTGTCAAATTATCTTCTGTCCGATTCTTTCCACCGAGCTTTAGGTAGGCTCGATTACCAGCCGCTGTTCGGGAAAATGAGCCCACAGTCATCAAAGACCGGACCCGGGAGACGGCGGAAATCGAGCCTAAGTTTTAGGTCGAATTTAACGGTAAATTCAGGGGTCTTAGTGTTCGTCGAACTAAGACCCCCTAAAAAAACAATCCGTAAAATATATATGAAGTCGAATTATGACCGTTCAAAGAATATAATCTGTAAAACAACCAAAAACTATCATCAGCGTGCTGACGATCGCTTCTTCTAATTACCTTATTATAGGAAATTAACGCTTGATGAAATTAAGGTATTGGAAATTAACGCGAATTTAATGGAAAACGACTTTCGAATAAAGAAAATTAACGCGAAAGAGGAGGTAGAATTTCTTAATAAAGGAAATTAACGCGATTAATTACGCGAAATCAAAGAAGAAGATATCGACATCACCGTCTGACAGCGACAACGATGATATTCATGTAAACCTTCGCCTTAGCTTTTGTGAAAGATGAAAAACAAAGGCTGAATGGAAAGAAAGAAATCTTGTAGTTAATGTTTTTTAGGTGTCAAGAATGGCTGGACAGGTTCCAAAATTGGGGTTAAAATACTGGAAATTAAGAGCGCGGAAATTAACGCTGCACTTAATTAACGCCGCGGAGATTAACTCTCGACAAAATTAACACGACTTAAATCAACGCGAATTTTAACGATTCGCGTTAATTTCATGGAGCGGTAATTTCCTATAATAAGGTATTTGCAGAAAACAGAGCATGAAAGCCATTACCTGTGTATAATTGTACACTGAAAATATGCGTACCCCGCCAATTGGTCTCTAATTTTAGTTGTTTCTGCATAAAGATCGTAAAATTGGCTTTCCACTGGAGATGGATTTTTGCCTTCGTTGCTGGCTGACATGTTGCTGCGACCTGAATATATCATAATCGCTTCCGATCGTCAAGTGGTTAATTATCGGTTAAAAAAACAACACAAAAATACTGGGTTTTTTCCCTTTTCTGGCCAGGCCATAGCCAGAAAAATGCTTTCTCAAAAAGGGCGAATAAAAGATGTATATACTACATTGCGTTTTTTTGAGAGTTTATTCAGTTTTATCGCTGCCACCCGGAGATCACCGGAAGCAAAAGTTACAATGTAAGGGGTAGTTGAGGGGTAGGTTGGGGGCAAAGGAAAAATAGTCTGTGAGGGATACTGGCTGAAAACACTTATTTAATAAACCATGAATAAATGAATAAACTCCCTGTACTAGCAAGGCATCATCTCGAAAATTTTGCGTTTTAGAAAAAAAATAGAACAAACAAACGATCAAAACAAAACACCCCTTGGGGTTTGTTTTAGGTGACGCAATCACGGTCGCGGAGACAAAAAGGCAAAAATCCATCTCCAGCACGTGGAAAGCCAATTTTACGATTTTAAAGGATAAACAACCAAAATTATATACCAATTGGCGGGGTAAGGCATATATTCAGTGTACAATTATACGCAGGTAGTCTATGGCTTTTCGTCCTCTTTTTAAAGCCTCAATACTGATCAATGCTGATATGTCTGCAAATTTTTAGAAGACGGATCGTCAGCACGCGAATGATATTTTTTGAATGGTCGTAATTCGACTTCATATATATATTACGGATTGCTTTTTAAGGGGGTCTTAGTTTTCGTAATAACGAAAACTAAGAGGGGTCTTTGTTTTCGGAATTACGAACACTAAGACCCCTGAATTTACCGTTAAATTCGACCTAAAACTCGGTGGAAAGAATCGGACAGAGGAAAATTTGACAGCTTAGGCCTATTTCGATTACAATTTGACTTCATATTTCGATGGATTTGATTTTAGGGGGTCTTAGTTTTCGTAATCTCGAAAACTAAGACGGGTCTTAGGTCTTAGGTCTTAGTTTTCGAGGGTCTTAGTTTTCGTAACACCCGTCCGCTGCCCGATTTAACAACATTTTCTTAATTAGCTTTTTGATAGACATGCTACATATTGCTACATAAAAGTCGACCTCAACAGTTTTTCAGCCAGCGGAGCGTTCTTTTTAGGCCGCGAAGCGACCGAGGGAGCTACGACTTCGTAAGTAATAAATTCTAGACATTCTAGGTTTTTGACTGTAAATCAAGAAACCAGTAAGCTTTGCTGACGCAGTATCTTTACTCTGTTGTGCAATCCAGCCTGACTTGCACGTGATTGGATGCAGCCAATTAAAATTACACAATTTTTTCGGTATGGGCTCGGGATACGGGAAAGTTAAAAAAAACAAGGTAATTTTTGACTCCAAAGAATACGAAAGGAATGCGCTCCTGAATTTAAGACGCTGGCTGACTCGGTCATTCCGCGTAATAACAGCAACCTGGATCTGATTGGTGCATGAGTTATCAAATGCGATCTTGAACGTCACGTCCACTGTCCAGTGTAATCCAGTCTTAACTGAAGCTATTGTTGATACTCTTTAAGAGTCTGAAAACAAAATCCACACTTTTAAATTACATTTCTACAAGTTATATTAAATTGACCTCGGGTTGCAATAACCGATTGAGGGTGGAGAAGTACTGGTCCAACGTAAGATAATGCACAAATCTCTGAGCCGGCCCTAAACTAATGGCAATTACTCTTCCTTATTTGCTATGGAAATTGAGAAATTACTTTTCAATAACAAAATCACAGTTTCAAAGTGAACTTTGAACTGTTAGCCTAATATGTTAGTGGTAACATATTCAATAAGTTTCAATCTTCTCCAAGTTTGTCCATCCGTGCCTCCTATTGTATTTGCTGTGTTATTTATACTTTCTGTTAACCTTTTGAGAGGTTATTTTTATGTTTCACTCCATTTTGTCGCAAGAAAAATAGTGAACGAAGATAAATCACTGATAAATGTGTCGATGCAACAGTTCGTTACTCGTCTGCTGTTAAAATGCGGGCCAACTCTTTTCTTCCTTGGTTTTTACCACTGCAGGTTTGTTGTCTGTTCTGTTGTCGTGTCACCAGTCAAAAGCAGTTTTCCTCGCTGTCTGATGTCACGGAAGCCTTGCGTAAAGTAAACATCGATCTGGTCAACAGCCGGCTGCACAGTTCAGGATTACAACATGGTGATGCGACGATTGCGGGGGTAAAGGTTTCCCTCGCATTTCCTTGGCCACTCGACAAAAATGGAACCATGCAGTTGCCTAGCAACCAGAGACTGCCAATACCAGATGTACGTGACTTTGCCAGACAACTATGGCGTCAGGTGGGGATTAATGGTTTATTGCCTCCTTTGCAATTAGTCGGGATTGGTAACTACGGTCTCTCCGTGGAGACTTTCCGGCTATCTTTTAAAGCAGGAAACGTATCGGCTGTTCAAATAACGTTTAACATTCCCGGAAGGGATGCTTTGCATCAATTGAAGTTTAAAATTGTCCAGCCTAAACTAAACATTGAATTGGATTTCCTAAGACGTCAAGCTAATGTCAAAGCCAAAGGTTTCTTGGTATCGTTAAATTACGTGGAATCCAGATTGAAAAACAGAGGATTGCCCATTGAATTAATTTTTCCAGACGACCTGGGTGGCTCTATGGAAACCACTGTCGTTGATAAGAGTGCTGTTGTTGAATTCAACTCCCTGATGCCACTGCTTTCGTCGTTTATGAATATGAAGGCCTTGGAAGCAATCCGTCGCATTTCTCAAAACATCACTGTTCCAATGTTACATTTGCGCTTAGCTGCTGGGCTTTCTAACATCTCCATTGTTAACGTGACAATGGTTTCAACGCGACCCTTTTTAGTCCTAGGAAAAGTGACCATTAGTACTGCAACGTTAGAGTTGACAGAAAATGGCAACTCGTTTCATGCCACCATCAACATCTGTGGACAAGACATATCGGTTAATATGCGTAATGATACTAGTGGAGATTATTTAATCCTTGAAGCAGCGGGAGAAGGAAAGCAACGGACTGCGTCAATAACTCTTGATACTTTCCTTTCTTGCTTCGAGGACTTAAAACAGCGCCGACCAGACATTGATTTCATGCGACTGAACAATTCGTCTTACTCATTCGGTCTCAAACAATTCCGCATTAGATATAAAATGAGACCAAACCTACAGCTAGCTGACATTATTGTTCTCTTTCAACTACCAAGTGAGTGGAACGTCTTCAAAGGAGCATTCTTATCGACACAGCTGCTTAATTCAACATTAAGCGCTAAAATAACCCTTTCCCGTCATAATTCACTCGCAGATATCAAGGCAGAAATTTTTGGCCAAGCAATTATTGGACATCCACCATTGATAGAGTTCCCTTTTTTGATCGAAGTCCCAACTAAAGCCAGCCCTATATCACTGACTCTTCAAGGTACAAAAACGATAAGCGTTGATTTTAAAACGTTGTCAAAGCTAGGAATTCTAAGTGGTGCTTTTCCTTCTTTTCTAAACACGCTACTTACACAGCTTCTGATCACGAAACTGAAACTAGAATTTTCCTCAGTGCTTACTGGCGCCTTCAAAACAACCACTCTGCATATTGAAACGCCGCCAAAAACAGTATGGAACTTTCCATTTTTTTACCTCGGGAATATCAAAATATTTCACACTGTGAATCACACTCTTGTTAGTGGTGAAATCAACCTTGGAAATGTGAGCTTACCATGCCAACTTGACTGGCCGCCGACAGGTGGAGACCCAGTAATAGAACTCCGAAATTCTGCGATGGTAGGAGTTTCGTCATTTGTTCAGCAAGTTTATCGAACGTTCTTTGGAAGAGAGAAAATCAAGGACATTTTAAGAGGTCTGAAAAGAAGCAAACTATCAGTCATATCTAGCTTTACCCTTCAAAAGGCCTCATTTCATTTATCCAGGAACCTTTCACTTCAAAAAGCATCATTTAAAGGAGCTATTGGGAAGTATTCATGGGAACTTCTGAACGATTTCTTTGGCGTTAGAGATATTTCTATTTCGATTGACATCGACGTCGGACCGTCTTTCGCCCTATTCATCGAAGGAACGATCGTTTTGGTCGAGGGAAGCGTTAGCATGCCTTTCCAGCTGAACGTTCCCTTCTCAAAAAACCAATCACTGGAAATCAGCCTTCCTGAAAACGCACGACCACGTATTTCTTTCCGAAATCTTAGTGGTATATTATTTTCGGCATCAGGAAGCATTTTTCCTTCCTCCCTTGGATCGTATCTTCCAGAGTTAGTTCTCCAAAAACAGATTATTTCCTTCGATGAAATGTTAACGGTGTTCGAAATTCATACCCTTCAGGCTGTCCGGACCACCCCTTGGGATCTTGGGGGCATTGGAGCTCTTACCATTTCGAATGTTACAGTTTCTATGAGCCCGCACCAGTTTACGTTGAGGGGAAGTCTTTCGATTGGTAATACAGTCTTGGTGCTTAAGCTGACAAACTCTTCCGATGGACAAGTGTTTAGTCTAGTTCGCCCAATAGAAGTCAAAGGGCTGAATGATCTAATAACAGATGCCTTGAAAAAGATGTTGCCAGGAGTAAAAAGTTTACCGGATGTTGATCTGTTAGGCCTCAATGTCGCTGACAGGTCCTCAGTACAGTTTGCGAAAGTACAGTTCTCCAACAATTTTGATTTTCTGCAATCCTTTGCCCTTAAAATAAGGCTCTCCAATTCTTGGTCGTTTTTCCAGTCAACCTTTTCATTGCTCGCTCCTACCATGAACTTACACGTTGACGATCTCAGTGACATTCCAAGTTACAAGCTCGACGTATCTGGCACCATAGAGTTTGTAAACGGAAAAAAACGAATAGTTTTTCCACTTGAATGCAACATCCCAGAATCACCGAACTCTATGATCACTTTGAAATTGCAACAAGAAGTGGTTTTTAATCTCTCAAATATTGCAGCGTTACCGTTGGTCGGTAAACTGATTCCACCTTCTCTACTGGCACCAATTTCAGATATCATTGGAGACGTTCAACTTTGGCCATTAAGAGCAGACTTCGAACCTACAACAGCACGTTTGGAGTCATTAAACTTAACAGTAACCGCTCTCAAACACTGGCAACTGAACGGCTTTCCACTGGCGTTCCAAAATATTACCTTAGAACTGAGAGTCGGCCAAAACGTTCACGCAACTCTACAAGGAATTATTGTCTTAAAAACTAAGCCAATTTTTGTGCGAATGCCATTCCCACCAGATATACCGAACGTTCCTGAATTGAAACTGACATTCCCAGGATTTCCAGAGATAACGTTGGGAGAAATAGGTTTACAACTTGTCAATGGCTTCGGCTTAGAGGGCCTTTTCCCGCCAGTTTTTGATAAACTGAAAATTTCAATGAAACTCTTGAACTTACGCCTGTTACCACCTCTAAGGCAGTTGAGGATCCAAAGCTTCCGAATGAGCTTTTCACTAAAAGACCAAGTCACCATTATTGATAACTGGCTACGTATATCTGACATAACGGCTGACCTTAGTGTGGCAACCGCCAATAAAGTGAGCGTAGCTGGGCGATTGGCATGTGTCATGACGTTTGGAAAAGGGGCCAATGTCCTTCAAATTCACGGGGTACTAATAATGCCTCATTACTCATTTCAAGCGTGGGAACTTGACATCCTCCCGCAGCAAACGGATCTTTCAGCAGCTAATATTGTTGAATTAACTGGTGGTGGATTTGATTTAAAGGCACTGTTTCCTGACGATATTCTATCAAAAGCAGACAAGTTTTTGTTGAAACTCTTTAAAGCCGCTTTCAATCCCAACCCTCGTTTTCAAATATTCAACATAACATGCGCTTTAGAGGCAAACCTTAGTGACGTCTCGCTTCCACTTGGAATAAGAATTCATCGTATTTACATAAAGCTGTTTATTAAGGACGCTTTCACTGCCAAGCAGTCTGTCAAGATTACAATATATGTCGTGATCAGCCTTGGCAAGGCAGTAGTTGAGACATTTCTCACTGTCTACAAGGACTCCGTTGTTCTAGCTATCGAAAACCTTAAGGAGCAACCATTAACTTTATCAGACTTGGCAACTCTGATTGGTGGGGATCAGCTTCTTAACATCGTGCCGGGCGCCTTTTTGAACTTTAATAAAGTGAACAGCTTGAGCATCAGTTTCAGCAAACCTCAATTTGACGTACTCAATGCCACTGTCCGATATGATATCAATGGTTTTGATGTCGGTTTTAGTTTTCCACTGCCAGTGCCTGACCCATCCAATAACTTTAAAGCAAGACTTGCTGTTCAATATCTGACACTCGACTTAAAACAAAGGAAGGACTGGGAACTTAGCGCAGCCATTAAAGCATCGTTCACCGGAATTCCGTTAGAGAGACACTTCAGTGATCTTGAGGGATTAGTAACCGTAACATCACGATCTGCAATACTAACTCTTAAGAAGAAACTCCTTGACACCAAAGTTGATATGAAACTTGCTGGCATAGACTGCAACTTGAACATCAAGTTTTCAGAGCCACAAATTATATTTGTTACACCACGACAGCCCAGAATTATGGTAAGCCTTGAAGTAACGGGATTCGATGTTCTTAACAAAATGTTCCCCTTCAAAGTATTCAAGGACACATTAAAGGTTTATGTTGTGATAACAGAAGAGACAGGTATGTCAATTCAACTAAAAACAATGCCAATTAGGGATGAACTGATACCCTGCAAGAAGGACAACGAACTTTATACCTGTGATTTTACATGGCTTTGTGAGAAACATTCCTACGTCACATTCAAACTTCCTTCTCTTGCATATACGAGAGACGGCTTCTCTGCTATCATTGACGTTCAAGGCTTGGACACGCTGTGCGTTCCTATCACACTGCCTCTCCTGCGAAATTTCTTGAAGAATATCCCATTCCTCTTTAATCTAGTCAAATCAAACATTCCTTTGTGGCCTCCTCCGGACATAATAGGCAACTTAAATAGAATGGGATGTAATATCGGTAACCTACCGAAGGGCATGTATCGATTCAAAAGCCCAGAATTTCCAAGAGAGATAACCTTAGCCCTCTCTATGTCGCCGAACGGTCCCTTAACATTAAGTCTAGAGGTTCAGAATGGAGAATCCTTAGATGTGGCAATGCCGGTGAGTCCCTTAGGTGACTTGCTAGCAGTCTCCTTCAGGCGATTCTCTATTGGAACTATTTTCGGGTTGCCATTTGTTGACATCGACGCTGAATTATATCTTTGGGATCTTAAGTTTGTAATACTTCTTTCACGCCTTCCAAGACAAACTCCACTGCTAATCAACGCGGCGAATATGGAAACACACATAATCTGCAAAGACTGCTTCTTTGTCATCCTGGGTTTTCTGCCAATTCCGATTTTTGCTGCACCCTTGTCCGTGAAATATTCGACACTCATTGATATCCAAGCTCAATTAACAATATATCATCGAAGACCTGATTTTAAAGACTTGGGCGCAATTGCCGCTCTTTTGGTTGGTCTTGTAAAGTATTATACAACCAAGGACTACTTATTATCGATGGATGACGTAAAAGCTGCAAATAGCAGTTTACTTGTCCTAAAACTGTCGCACGAAAATGACTTGACTATGATTCAGCTACCCGCGTTCTCTGGTGGAAGTAAACTTACATTGAATGTCCCGCCAATAGATGGTAAGAAGTTTCTCATTGGTTGGATGAATTTCATGAAAACTTTTGAGCCTATATGGCTGCTACAGATTGTTCCCCTCAAATATCGTATTTTGGACGTTGCATTCAATATCGGTCCTTTTAGATGGTCTTTGCTCAAATTTGCAGCTTCATCACCAGAGGAGCTAAAGAAAAACAAAGCTCTCTGGCCGTATCCAGTGATGGAGAGTGGAGACGATGCATTGATAATGGCGTCTGCTGACTTACTTCTTCTCTCTGCTGACGTTGTTCTTCGTGTAAAGAACTTTGGAAATGCTGGTCTGTCGCTGCGTTTGAACGCTGGTATAAGTAGGGTGGTCAAGATAAGCTTTGAAGCCGCCACACAGATCAACTTGGAGGACTCTTCCAATCCAATGCTGATTTCTGCAAAAGCTCACCTAAAACTGTTTGATGTACCACTCCTTAGGGGTGAGGTGACTGTTACCAAAGACATGATAGTAGTATTTGGCGAATTGAAATTTAACTTTCTGGGCGTCGTTAAATTGGGTGGAAGGGTAAGAGCTGTTTTTGGTCCTGGCCTTGTATTCGTACTAGATGCTGCAATAGGTCTTCAGTTTGTGGGTGTGACGCTATCCAGTGGCCGCATTTACATAAAGGAATCTCCTTCAAGCTCGTTGGTACGGGCATCATCTCGATTCATGGGGTCGAAACTAAACATTGTGATTAGACGTCGTGGTCTTTCTATGGCCATTGAAGCACAGGCGAAAATAGCCGTTGGTCTACGAGTTGATCTCGGCAAAATAAAAGTCTTTGGAAGGGATTTGGGAAGAATTGTTTTGAGCACTGGCTTTAATTGTGATGTGAGGATTTCATTTCCTGGAAGAAGCACGTTAAAGGTTTCATTTCATTTTCTAGGGCAAAAAATAGATCTTCCTTCATTAATAATTGACATACAAGATGCAAGACCTGAGAGAATCCCGACACTTTTACTAGATTATGTTAAGAATAAAGCGCCTACTTTGATAAAAGATCTATTCCAAAAGGATCTTCGTTTGTTACTAAAAGCATTTATAGAAGGACTTACGAACTTTGTTGGCAACGCGGGAGAATTCGTCAAAGACTTGCTAAAAATGGGCTTGAAAGTAGGAGGAGAACTAATAAAGGACGTTGGAAGATTCCTCAAAAATCTCGCTGACTCCACAAAGGCATTAGCCCAAGCAGCTGAACAGGCTGTTAAAGCTGCAGCACAGGCGGCTAAGGCTGCAAGAGAGGTCGCTACGAAGGCTGTAGAGGCTGCTAAAAAAGCAGTTGAACAGGTTTCAAAAGTGGCAGAGAAAGTCAAAAGACAATTTAAAGAGGCTGGAAAAGCTTTGATACAAGCTACAGGAAAGGTGATACGTCTTAAAAATGCTGTCAAAGAGGCAGAAAGGGTCTTTAAAAACATCTCGAAGACACTTGAAAAAGTCGTTAATAGAATCAGTCAGATAGCCCAGAAAATAGCGGACGAAATTGCTAGAGGTCTTCGTAATCTTGCTGGAAAGGTGATCAAAACTGTTAAAGGATGGTTTGGAAAACGTTCAATATATCGACGTGATGCCCTTACCGATGAAAAGCGAAATAAAGAAAGGGCAAAAAAAAACCTCCAAAAAGATCAAAGCAATCAGAAAACTCGTGTCAGGCAAAAGGAACGAGAGCTTGAAAGTGCACAAAAAAGAGAACAGATAAAGAAAGCCTTGTATGAAGATGCGCGCAAGGAGGCACTCCGTTCAACAGAAAACCTCAAAAAGACTTTGAAAGATAAAACCGATAAGGTGGCACACTTAGATGACATCCTCAAAAAGGGAAAGTGCGTAACTGGTGAGCATAACTGTCACCCAAGTGCAACCTGTATCCGGTCAGGACAAGAAGGACAATCATT